GTTTTTTAGAAAAAATGTTGACCCTTTTTAGAATTGTGGCAATGTAATTGTAATGATTTCTCTTGTGCAAAGCTTTCGAGCAAATATCTGCTCAACTTACTGAATGAGTCCTCACAAGCGCTGGAGGCCCTATCATGGAAGTGGATGGTCGCCGATACATGCTGTTTTCGAGTCCTCTCACTCACAATGTGTCTGCGCTCTCGCTCACCGCTGTGCTCTCTCGTTCTGAGTTCCTTCTCTTCTCTTTAGCGTTTTCACTGCCTCTATAGGTTTTTTCTTCACTTATTCTTCACTCGGTCCACAACGTCCTTCTATTCTTATTTTCAGGCTGCATTCAAGTGAACGGAGGATGTGCCTTTAAGTCCAAAAATTATCTCTTTTTTCTGTGGGCGTCACTTTCTCCGACAGGAAAGGCGGCTGGCGGCTCCTAAGCGAAGGATAAAGCCACGCACGTGTTGGAAATTGATCTGCTCAAGTAATCGTAGGGAGCCTCTTTAACCCATTCGCGACCGCGCGGGATTGCGCAATAGCAGGAGAGTCAGGAGATTTTTCTTCAATAAAATTTGAGTGGATGGAGATTTCCTCTGCCCAGGGCTGGCGTAGATGAATGAGGGTATGAAGATTCTTTTCAGAAACTTTCCAAATTCCATTTGAAACACGGCAGCCACCGGTGGATACCATTGTCCCGAGTGAGATCTTTGGCAGCCACCGGTGGCTGCCATTGTCACGAATGGGTTAAGGAATCATTCATTCCAGTCCCATTCATGCAGCTTGATGACATTATCATGTTTCTCTTGAAAATACTTCAGACGTCAGATCAGCTCGCTGACAGGCTTGGATAAGGCTAATAAACTCAAAAAACATTTGATATGGCTTCCAAGCTTCTGCTGCAAATCTACATTCATGATTAACTTTTGGTTCACTCAAAGGAATTTTCCACGATAAATTGCAGGGTGGAATATTTCTACTAGAAAGCGGGCAGTCCCCTAAGGCTGTGGGACCATGCATGTTTCTGGGTGTGGTTCGCTAGGACAGAAAGCGATTTTTTTGCGTTTCGCAGCGTGGAACATTTTCCGCTGCGGAAACTCCAGGTCTCCTGATGATCAGCGGTGGACCTGAGGTTCCTTTTCGCGCGTTAAAGTCGCTTTCGGTCCTAGCGAACCACACCCCATGCACGGAGGGTACGCCTTCAAACCGCAGAGCACAGCCCTACCCGTAACAGTGAATTACTTTCGCGAATGACCACGCCCATGGATTGAGTATTTTAGCTACTGGTCCCTCGCCGTCGGACTCTAGCGATTTTGCCAGAGGCAGGGCGGAGCGCTCACGCTGATAAATTAGCACCGATGCGGCTCGTCCAAACACGGAAATTGACCAGGAGAGATCCATTTGGGGATATTAGGCCTTTCCCCTGGTTTTTTCTTCATCTCTGCATCATTGACCACCTCCGCCTTCATTTCCAGTAGCCGGTCAATTTATCGTAAAACCTGCCTTTGAATCACAAGAAAATCAATAAAAGGCTCTAATCATTCTCAAAGCGATATGAATCAAGTATTCAATTTGACAGACCCCTTTGAACGCTCATTCACCAATATGTCTTATTTTGGAGTTTTCAGAGCCGTCGCTGCCGTTCGGAAGCCCTGCGAAGAAAAATATGACTGCTAGAGACCCGATCATGAATAAAGAATCAAAGGTGGTAGCAAAATCACCGGCCAGAGAACAAGCTAAGAAAGAACCATCAAAGATAAAGGCGAAATCTTCGGCCAGAGATCCAGCAAAGAAGGAACCATCAAAAATCAAGGCAAAATCTTCGGCCAGAGATCCAGCAAAAAAGCAACCATCAAAAATAAAGGCAAAATCTTCGGCCAGAGATCCAGCGAAGAAGGAAGGACCACAAGTAGTCATGCCACCAGCCAATCGAAAATCCCAGTGAGACATGAAACACCCAATGTGGTCCAGCCAGTGCCAGATCCATCGAAGGGAGAAGCACCAAAGGTAGTCCATCCCTATAAGCATAAGCTTGGCAATCATTAGACAGTTTTGGTGTGCCACGTACAAGCACGAGCCAGGCTATTCTGAGAATTTTCAAATCAGTCTCATCTTGACAGAAACTTCCATTCAAAGAGCGTTATTCTTTGACCACCACTTTTAGTGTTTCTTCCAGCTCAAATAAACGAAGCGCCCAAAGCGCGCTCTAAAAGACTCCGGGATGATAACTGGGATTGCTACATATTCCTCTGCTATGTGACTGCCTTGAATAGGTGCCAAAGTTCGCGAATGCAAGCGAGGGCGCGCGCTCAAGAGGAGAGGAACGTCTACATCGATCATAACTACACACGCCCGCGATCTTGCCACTAGCTGACGCTCCAACTGTAGCGGTTAGGCGTCAGGTTAAATAGAGTGTACCATACTACGTCTCATATCGCACAGCACGCGCTGCGACTCGTCCTTTGCCGCATCTGCGTCTCTTCCTTCGCCGCGCGATGGGCCTCTTGGGGGACACCCCAATCGGCCCGCGACTGGCCGTATCACTATACGGTACTACTAGGTAAATGGAGAGTCCGTGTAACGTCGAAAAGTAGCGCAGAGGACCCGCCTCGTGGCAAACCGCTGCACCATGAACCCACGGCGATGCTGCAAGTGACCTTGACATTTGCTGTAGGATGTACCACTAAATTCTTCGACGTAACGCCTGAGTACGGATGGGTGAGTAAGGATGGGAGCTCCTGCATTGGGATTTCCATTTTTGATCTGCGCCGTGGAATGCAAACTTCTGAATTACTGTAACCAAAAGGCATAGCCAGGATTAGGTCAAAGGAGTGAAGCCTTGTAGCGAGAAAAGTAGAAGGTTCGGAAAGCAAATGGGTCGTATCGACTGAGGTTCAAATCTTGTCCTTTTCACCTATGCTGAGAGGGCTCCCGGCGTTATGGCCGTCATTTTGTGTGTTCTTCACTGCCACAGCCCTAGTCGCCCACTACCATTTTTGTGCACTCACACCTAACTATATCATTGAACATATTTAAAGGCACGCGTCGGGATCGATTTGGTGTGTTAATTTGCTCGAGAAGTGCAATGAGGAGCGTTTTCGGGGAGAAAAAGCAAAAAGTCAATAGAAAACACTAAAATTTCCCGGTTGGCCGTGGTATGACGGAGAGACACAGCGCTGCGAGGAGAGGGAAAACGCGAGAGAGTACGTCGTACGCGAGAGGGCGCAAACGCCACGTATGCCGCGATTGATAAGGATGGCAGCACGGCAGCAAACAAGGAAAGGGCTCCCCATCGCCGTTTCCACGCACTTTTGAGTCGCGCCTCCAGCGCTTGGGGACCCCTCTTTCTCATTTCTGGAAGGGAATATCTCTTGGCACTCCTGGCCCCGACCCGTGCATCAAACTTCACTTGAAGAACAGTTATGCGAATCATTTTCAGATTCCCGCCTCAACAATTACGAAAATCGGACAAAGTGTAAACGAATTAGTAAGTTCCAGATTTACTTATATGTTGGCTATTTCGCTTTAGCTGAGCTGAATTAACGATGTTTAGCTGCAATGTCAGTTCCGAGATCAAGAAACGCAGCCAGAAAGCCGAGAACCTGAGGTAATTAATACATTTTAAGATACCAGTTTTGTTCCCGTGATAGCCTTCATAACCTTCCACCCCATGGATGGTGGGTATAAAAGGGGGTTTTTTGGTATAGAGTCTTATCCCAATCATGTCATCAATGTAATCCCCCAGAGCTGCAACGTTTGGTTCAAACCATTGGGTTGGTTAACCTGATGTTTTCGCTTCGACTTAAAGGAGGAATTCACGATTAGAATGAAGGTCGAAGAAAGGGAAACTGACCTAGTTGAGGGACCCACGGACCTCCTGAGGGTGCGAACTGACGCGCAATTCGCATGGAAAAATTTGACCTCGGCGACCTATCATGCCTCAAAGCTGGCGGGTCCGGCGATCTCCGCCCACCGATCATCTGATCACTCGCCGTAGTTCAATACGTGGCGAGTGATTAGATAGCTGAGAGAGCGTAGTGTTGAAGAGGGCACAGCGATGAGAGTCGCATCAATGCTCAAATCAACGGGCAAGGAAGGGGTCCCATTTCTCGGGTTCTGGGCCGTTTCTCATGGTTTTTCCTTCTTTAGTGTACCACTCACCATCGCTAAGGTTAATTTGAAATGGGTTGCCTTTCCAGCGTGAATTCGTCCTTTGAAGACAT